TTATTCCAACCTCATTATCCTCGCCGTGCCAAACAGGGTGAGCCGTCCCGCCGTGTGCCACCCGCCGCCCGCTCGCCCACCCACTGGCACTCACTGCCCTCCTCCCTTCCCGCTGCAGGATGCTGGTGAGGAATCCTGTGCCCTCATCTGCCAGGTGTTCCAGATCATCTACGGCGACCAGAGCATCGAGTGCGTGGACCGCGCCGGGTACCACTACACCTCCACACCCACACGGCCCTGGCTCTCCAGCAGGAGTGAGTGGCTGGGGACAGGAGTGGGAACAGCAAGTCGGGTGTCATGGGGCTGACGGATGGGGGTGCGTGGAGACATCGCGGGGGGTTTGTCTCTGCTAAGAGGTTTCAGCTCTCCCTCCCCAGGCGAGAGCTGCCGCACAGATGGGACATATGGCTACGATGCTGATTACAGCTGCTGCAGCTCCTTGTGAGTCTGGCTCCCCCAGGGTGCCCCTGGTCTGGGGCGGGTCCCACTGGACTGGTGTGGGATTCCCCTGCCCCTGGGTGGGTGTCCCTGCCCTTGGGTGGGTGTCAGTTCCCACTGCAGTGATGTCCCAGCCCTGTCTGATGGTGGCTGCTGTGCAGTGGGTGGGGGGCAGCTGTGCACAGGAGGGGTACGGGACCCTCTGACCTGTGTCCTCCCACAGCAATGGCTCCCACGAGACCTTTGAGGCTTATTACAGTGGCACCTCCTCACCGTCCTTCCACCGCTCCCACCACAGCCTGGCCACCGCTTGCAGTGGCAGTGACCAGAGCGGCGCGGGGCTGGAGCAGCTGCAGGACTACATGGTGACGGTGAGGGCACAGGGATGGGCACGGGGACAAGCAGCAGGCCAGCAGTGCCAGCAGCTGAGGCAGGGACAGCAGGCAGGTCTGAGCTCCCTGTGCCTGAGAGCAGCAGTGGAACACAGGGTGGGGGACTGGGGGATTGCGTGCTGTTGGTGTCCCCAAGCTCAACCTGTCCCCGTGTCACCACAGCTGCGCAACAAGCTGTCACCGCAGGAGATCCAGCAGTTTGCCATCCTGCTCCGCGAGTACCGGCTGGGCACACCGGTGCAGGAATACTGCACCGAGCTCCTGCGCCTCTACGGGGACCGCAGGAAGTTCCTCCTCCTAGGTGAGTGTCTGCAGCCACCATGTCACCCTGGGGATGTCTATGTATCCCTTGGGGACATGGTGCTGGTGCTGGGTGTGCTTCAGGGGATGTCAGGGGATGCCCCCATTGCTTACTGGGGCCAGGATGGGGCAAACCTCCTGCCATCAGCCAGTGGGGCTGGCATTACACCCCAGTGCTGCCCGCCTGTGCAGCCTCCCCAGGCTTACGGTGCCTATGACAGGAATGAGGCCCTTCATCCCTGACCAAGACATCGGGTACTTTGAGACCTTCCTGGAGAGCATCGGGATCCGGGAGGGCGGGATCCTCACTGACAGCTTCGGCCGCATCAAGCGCAGCATGAGCAACACGTCGGCCTCGGCCGTGCGCAGCTACGACAGCTGGTCCCTGCGCTCCGAGTCCGAGTCCTTCAACCGCATGATCACGGACATCACCCACGACATCGAGGCGCTGGCACGGGATGAGGAAGAGGAGGAGGAGGAAGAGGACAACTACCTGTGAGCCAGTGCTAAAACCCAGCTGTCCCCTCCCTTCTTGCTGATGTGGTGCTGCACCTCCAGGACCAGACTCAGTAGGTGCCCAACTCTGCCTCAGAACTAGGGAGAGTGAATTTGTCACCATGGGAGGGGACAGGCCTCTGCACTGCCCTGTCAGCTCTTGTCAAGGCTGTTGGAATCACAGTCAGGGAGACACGTGTGCTGTAATTTCTGCAGATTTCAATTAAATGCTGAAGCTGAGAGCAGAGCAGGTTCTTCCATGGAAAAGAGCCCTGTCAGAGTGCAGGGGTTGCTGTGGTGTGGGGGTGAGCTGGCACAGGGGGATACTGGGCTGGGCTGGGCACATGCCCACTCCAGTGTCACATGGAGGTCACCACCAGTGGCAGGCCTGCTCCAGGGGATGCTCAGAGCAGTGGAGGGGGTCAGCAAGAGTGTGCTGGGAGAGGAAAGGGCTGGTGGCCGCAGCCGGCCCGCTGCTGCCTTCGATGTCTGTGCGAAACTGGTCCGGCCGGGGCTGCGGGTGTTTCACAAAAGGAAGTTCCTGCCCCGGGACCCGGCTTCCTGCAGTCCCGCCCTGCACCCCTCCAGCGCCGAGGGACCGGCCCGTGCTCCCTGCCGCCCCATGGACCTCAGCTGGTGTTCCCTGATGTTCCCTGGCCGCTGTATCCCATAGACACTGGTCCTTGGCTGATGGCAAACATTCCCCGGCCTAATGTCCCTTGGTGGGGGCTACGGGACGGCGCTGCACCCCCAGGCTGGTGTGTGTGCAGCAGACTCTGGGGCTAGCAGAGCAACAAAAATAATTTACATATGCAAACTCTGATGGGGTGAGACACTCTCGCACCCAGGCTGCTTCGTCTGAACCCGAACAGCTCATGGTCAGGGTAGCACAGAGCCGCTGAGGGGTCCCTTGCTGATGCTGCCTCTTTCCAAATTCAGAGGTTGTCCGGGCAATCCAGAAGAAAGCCTGGAACACTGCAGGGCCGGGTAGGGCGCTGAGAGGAGCACGGGAGTACCTGGCCAGCAAGGACACCACAAAGCCCAGGGATACCTGGACCTCTCTGAGCTGTGCTTCACAAAGCCAGTCCCATGCACCCCACTGTTTCCTGGACCCTCTCATGTCCTGCACCCCACCACGGATGCTCAGGACTTTCTTTTCTCCTTCCTGGGGAGAGAGACCCAGGCTGACGCTGTGTCCTGTGCTCCCCCCGTGCCTGCCCCCGCCTTCCATGGCCCTGCACCAGGCGAGGAAACATCCTGGGGGCTGCTCTGGGGTGCGGGACCCCAACCCGTCCGGTGTCCCGGGGGCAGCACATGGACAGACGGGCTCTGGCACCCGTCGGGGGGTCCCTAAGGGCAGTGGGGTCACGCAGGGCTGGCATGTCCTTGCGGGTGTGGCTCGTGGGGTGGTGGTCTCCGCTCCCAGCCCGGCACAGGAGGCACCGGCTGCTCCCACCCCGTCGGAT